TTTTAAAAAAGCATCAGAAGCCATAAAATCCTTCAGTGAGTCAGTCAAGTCACTCAGTATGTCAGTCAAGTCACTCAATGAGTCAGTCAAGTCATTCAGTAAGTCTAGTCACTCAGTAAGTCAAGTCACTGTCAGTCAAGTTATTCAGTAAGTCAGTCAAGTCACTCAGTAAGTCAGTCAAGTCACTCAGTAGGTCTGTTGGGTCAATCATTTAGTAAGTCAATCATTCAGTCACACAAACTCATGTTAACCTCTTTTTCTGTGTACAAAGTAACACTTCAGTTACGGCTACAGATTATCTCTTGTCTAATATCTTCTTTAATTCCTCGACTTAAGTGCTTGTACCTCTTGGTGCCACTTTCAGCAACACTAGTATGGCTACTGGGTGTCATGATTGCTTGGCAGATGCAAGATATAGTAATTAAAATATAGCACAATTGACAACCCACAGCTGCTTGTAGCAGGGGAAAGACTTAACCCCTGTGAATATGAATGCTGTTCACCTAGCAGCAAAATGGGTCCTGGGTGTTAGTCAACTGGTGTGGGTCGCATCCTGGGGGACAAGATTGAGGACCCCATTGGAAATAAGTTAGGCAGTCCTCGATGACGCACTGACTTTCTTGGGTTATGCAGAGTGGCTGACCCTCTGGGGTTATAAATCCGAACGACATCTTATGTTTTTTATATGATGTCAGGGAGTTGTGGGTATGGCTCCCGGGCTGCTCTACAAAAAGGGTGGCTGCCTGAGGCAAAAGAGTTTTTTTTTTTTCCAAATTCTCAACTGAACCATTGTTAATTTTTTTATATGACGTGTTACTTTAAAAACTGTGCAGCAATTCTTCAGTGGCGGTCTACTGTATTATTATAATAACGATAAAGGTTTCATTTCCCAAAAATTAATAATAAGAGCAATAATAATAATATGCAATAATACTACTACTAATAATATAATTATTATAACGATAGGCTTCAGTTCCCGAAATTAATAATAAGAAGCAATAATAATAACGTAATACTACAAACTAATATAATTATTTTTAAATAACGTTTAGAGCTTCAGTTGCCTAAATTAATAATATAATGCATAATAAAATATTTTAATAATTTCAGATTTGTTGTGGTAGTTGGCACAGCTATGGCGCAGTTTGGTTAAACCAGTAAACATGTTTACTGCTTAACAGCTGATGGCACAGCTGGTTAAGCAGTAAACATATTAATCCTGTGGGGGCAGTTTTTCCTGATTTTTGGGTATTTTTCTTGTCATTTAGGCCAATTTCTTTTTTCTAACTTGCCAGTGATCTACTGCATTTACCTCAAAATACTCCGTTTTTCCTTACAGAAAGAACATGGGAAGATATATAGTTCAAATTCTTACCAAAAAGATTTTAAGTAGCCCAGTCTGAAAATCCATTTAAGACTCTTTCAAAGCCACTTAATCAACCTAACTAAATGCTAATTACTCGTACCACTTATACTTATGTACTCCACATCTAATGAAACAATCACATTGACCTTTATCCATTGTTGTAAGTAAGTAAGTATAAATTTATTCAGGTATACCTTACAGTTACATAGAATTATCATACATAGCAGTATATGTGTAGAGAACCTAGGATAACCCAGACAGAGTGACTTAATTGAATCGTTGTTTTCAAAAAAAGCATTTTCGAATATAAATATATCTTTGTATTATACAAATTTTGATTCATTTATAATTAATATTCTACTGTATAACTATGAAATAATTACTATCCTACTGTACAACTATGATATACTCCTTAGTATAAAGTAGACTGTATGCCAATAATATTAAGTTGGTCCATAAGAGACCATACAATAAGTGTCAGGGGCCCAAGACTGTTCAACTGCCTCCCAGCACACATAAGGGGGATTACCAACAGACCCCTGGCAGTCTTCAAGCTGGCACTGGACAAGCACCTAAAGTCAGTTCCTGATCAGCTGGGCTGTGGCTCGTACGTTGGTTTGCGTGCAGCCAGCAGCAACAGCCTGGTTGATCAGGCTCTGATCCACCAGGAGGCCTGGTCACAGACCGGGCCGCAAGGGCGTTGACCCCCGGAACTCTCTCCAGGTAATGCCTAGGCATAATAGAGGCTCTCAATGCATTGCAACCCACCATTGTAAATACAAAATCTCAATGTACTGTTTGCAAAGACAAAATAAATAAATAAAAAATTGGAACAGAAATGGCGGACGCTTCTGCCATTGCTGCTGCCTCTGCCACCATATTATGGCCTATTTTATTCATGTTAGAGTATGTGTCATGTTTCTGTGCTAATTATATTATGTCATATTAGATGAACTGTGATAGATAAATAAGCAGTACAGTTGATAATAGGGCCATATTCAAGTATTTTTTCTCATCTCTCCAGAGTGCAGGAACGAATTAATGGCTTTTCAATTAA